TATCATGGCGGGTCGCTGTTTTTCACCGAAGTGATCGAGTGATCAAAAATAATTTCTCCCGATAAAACTAGTTCAAATTTTACATTTTTTTCATATAAAAAAAAGAAGTATTTAATTTTTGCATGGCATCATGACCGACTAAAAGGAATTATTGGTATAACCGGTGTATAACATCGCGAAGTAAGTTATGTCACGTCGTAATTTTGATGATCGTTTGGAAGTGTTATTTGTTCGTTGTAGAAGCTGGTGGTCGGAATAATAACCAGCAATCCGCCAAGTAATTACGTGGTTGAGTTTTGAAGGAGAATTTTGCAGTAAATAAGATCATGAAAGTCTTGAACATAATCCTGGCTGGAACGTTTCAGATGAGTTCCATTTAACCTTTTACAATTTATTTGTTTCTTTTTAGTCTGCAGCATTTGCATTTCGAGAATGTTTCATTTTTAAATTCAAACTCTTCTAAATTGTGAAACGTAATATTTTGACTCCAAAAAAAAAATACAATTGCACTGTGACAGAGCTTATAAATATTACAAAAGTGCCCAAAATAAAAGTGTTTATAACACTGTGTGAAGCAAATAAATGTCTGCCACTTTGTTTTTGAAAATATATGTTGTTTATTGTGTGGGTGTAAATGTGCTTTGGTCAATTTCTATTATTATGTAAATGATATGCAAATGATATGTAAATTAGGCCGCCATAGTGGTTTAAATTCCTGGAGAGAACACTGAAGGTACAAATTACTTACCTTTGTTTCCAATAAATTGTCTGGAGACACTCAATACTGTTATCAAGATCATAGATATGTAACTGAAAAAAGTTAAACCTGGATTCATTATATTCACCTTCCAAAACCTATTTTTTATTCTGTGCCTGTAAACCAGTAAGTGTATATTATCTATCTGTCAATGTGATAGACACACTAGAACAAACAGTGTTACCATGCAACAAATTAGTTTTCAAGTCTTGCCTTTTGAAAGTGGCTGGAGAGTGAAATATAGCTTTCCAAGAGGCACTGAGATGACTTATAGAAGTAATTGCAACATGTTGAGAAATAATTTGTGCATGTGTTTTATTTAAAAAAACAGGAATGAGATTTAACTTTGGGCAAGTTCTGGTATTTTTTAATGAAATGCATTCTTGAATATTATCTATCTTTGTGAGTTGTACGCCCCAATGACAATACATCTGTACATTATCTTTACAAATTTACTTATCTGTTAAACTTTTTAACCTTGTAAATTTGGGTGGTACATAAATAATATTGTAATAAAATGTGCATATTTTTTGTGACTGTTTCTTCATTGTAAAAGTCAATGACGACGCAACTAATTTCGTAATTTTATTTTCCCTCAAGGACGTAATGTCCCCCTCAACCTGTCATATGGTAAATTAAAATTGTCATTTGCACTGTCGAGAACAGTAGTAATTCATGGCATCCATCCCTCAATTGAAAAAGGAATCAGTTCAAAGATTTAGTTGACCTTGACAAAATACTTGACTTGCAAAGCTGTTGACAATAAATATTCCATGTTTAAAACAAGATCTTGATCTTTCAGGTCATAGCAGTTACAACACTGGAAAATCTAGTACCAATTATACCAGCCAATCACATGTGACCTATCCAGGTGCTCAACAACAATCAACACATAGTAATTACCCAGCCAACCAATCAACAAGCAGCAAGTATCAAGGCAGCCAATCGGCATTCAGTTCCTTTTCTGGACATTATGTGCCTGCTCAGCAGCCTTTAAATGACAAGTATCCACAGAATTATCAACAACAACAA